TCGAGAGCTCATGATTGGGGCATGAATATAACATTGACTTAAGCCTCCCCCAATCTTGAGCGAGGCTTTCTCCTTCGTGAGTCCAAAAATTATATATATAATTACGATCACGATGAACAAGATGCATAGGATAAAACTTCTGATGAAATTCCAATTTCAATTGTTTGTAGTTCCATGATCCCATATCATCACATAGCCTATACCATGTCAATGCCTCTCCCTTCAAAGATAAAGGGAAAACATTCTTATTGATAACATCCTCGGGCATACCTGCAAGCTTAAATAATCCACAAACTTCATCCACATAGATTAAGTGTAAATCGGGATGCAATGTTCCATCTCCTGCAAAAGGATTAGCTAGCAGTTTCTCTATTATACCCGAAGGAATTTTAAAGTAAACATTTTCAGTAGGTTCAGTAGGTTGAGGGGTAGCTAATTGTGGTTCCGGACGAGGTGAAGATACCTCGAACAAACCCCTCAAAGGATTATGTTCCATAGTAACAAGTGACAGTAAATTTCAGCACACTATATAATTTTTTCCTTACCAAATTCCACCTACCAAAGGCGCTTCACTCCCCGGCAACGGCGCCAGAAAAGAGTCTTGATGACCCACAAGTGTAGGGGATCTATCGTAGCCTTTTTGATAAGTAAGAGTGTCGAACCCAACGAGGAGCAAAAGGAAATGATAAGTGGTTTTCAGCAAGGTATTATCTGCAAGCACTGAAATTATCGGTAACAGATAGTTTTGTGATAAGATAAATTGTAACGAGCAACAAGTAATGAAACTAAATAAGGTGCATAAAGATGGCCCAATCCTTTTTGTAGCAAAGGACAAGCCTGGATAAACTCTTATATGAAATAAAACGCTCCTGAGGACACATGGGAATTATCGTCAAGCTAGTTTTCATCACGATCATATGATTCGCGTTCGGTACTTTGATAATTTGATATGTGGGTGGACCGGTGCTTGGGTGCTGTCCTTACTTGGACAAGCATCCCACTTATGATTAACCCCTATTGCAAGCATCTGCAACTACAACAGAAGTATTAAGGTAAACCTAACCATAGCATGAAACATATGGATCCAAATCAGCCCCTTACGAAGCAACGCATAAACTAGGGTTTAAGCTTATGTCACTCTAGCAACCCATCATCTACTTATTACTTCCCAATGCCCTCCTCTAGGCCCAAACAATGGTGAAGTGTCATGTAGTCAACGTTCACATGACACCACTAGAGGAAAGACAACATACATCTCATCAAAATATCGAACGAATACCAAATTCACATGACTACTAATAGCAAGACTTCTCCCATGTCCTCAGGAACAAACGTAACTACTCACAAAGCATATTCATGTTCATAATCATAGGGGTATTAATATGCATAATGGATCTGAACATATGATCTTCCACAAAATAAACCAACTAGCATCAACTACAAGGAGTAATCAACACTACTAGCAACCCACAAGTACCAATCTGAGGTTTGGATACAAAGATTGGATACAAGAGATGAACTAGGGTTTGATATGAGATGGTGCTGGTGAAGATATTGATGGAGATTGACCCCCTCCCGATGAGAGGATCGTTGGTGATGACGATGGTGGTGATTTCCCCCTCCTGGAGGGAAGTTTCCCCGGCAGAACAGCCCCGCCGGAGCCCTAGATTGGTTCCGCCAAGGTTCCGCCTCGTGGCAGCGGAGTTTCATCCCGTGAGCTTGCTTATGATTTTTTTCTCAACGAAAGACTCCATATAGCCAAAGATGGGCATCAGAGGGCCACCAGGGGGGCCACGAGGCAGGGGGCGCGCCTAGGGGGGTAGGGCGCGCCCCCACCCTCATGGATGGTGGGTGGCCTCCCTCTGGTACTTTCTTTGCTCAATATTTTTTATATATTTTGAAAATAAGTCCCGTGGAGTTTCAGGACTTTTGGAGATGTGCAGAATAGGTCTCTAATATTTGCTCCTTTTCCAGCCCAGAATTCCAGCTGCCGGCATTCCCCCTCTTCATGTAAACCTTGTAAAATAAGAGAGAATAGGCATAAGTATTCATGACATAATGTGTAATAACTGACCATAATGCAATAAATATCAATATAAAAGCATGATGCAAAATGGACGGATCACAGGTCATTCCAAGAACTTTTATTTCTGCACAAAAATAACACCATGGCAATTCTGCTGAAAACAGCGTCAGTCTGGGTTAGTTCCATTCAAATCATGCAAGTTAGAGTCCAAAACAATGGCAAAAGTGTTTGGAAAAGTAGATACGATGGAGACGTATCCTGTCTACGTACCCTCGTAGACCGAAAGCGGAAGCATTTAGTAACGCGATTGATGTAGTCGAACGTCTTCGTGATCCAACCGATCAAGTACCGAACGCACGGCACCTCCGCGATCTGCACACGTTCAGCTCGGTGACGTCCCTCATACTCTTGATCCAGCTGAGGACGAGGGTGAGTTCCGTCAGTACGATGGCGTGTCGACGGTGATGATGAAGTTACCGACACAAGGCTTCGCCTAAGCACTACAACAATATGACCGAGGTGTAAAACTATGGAGGGGAGCACCGCACACGGCTAAATATCAACTTATGTGTCTATGGGGTGCCCCCTCCCCCGTATATAAAGGAGGGGAGGAGGAGGGCCGGCCACAAGGGGCACGCCCAAGGGGGGAATCCTACTCCTAGTAGGAGTAGGTTTCCCCCTTTCCTAGTCCTAGTAGGGGAAGAAGGAAGGAAAGGAAGAAGAGAAGGAAAGAGGGGGGGGGGGGCTAGCCCTAGTCCAATTCGGTTTGGGCTAGGGGGGCGCGCGCCACACCTTGGCCTGCCTACTCTCTTCCACCATTAGGCCCATGAGGCCCAATAACTCCCCGAGGGAGGGGGGGTCCGGTAACCCCCGGTGCTCCGAAACTTATTCGAAACGACCCGAACCATTCCTGTGTCCAAATGTAGCCTTTCAATATATGAATCTTTATGTATCGATCATTTCAAGACTCCTCGTCATGTCCGTGATCTCATTCGGGACTCCAAACAACCTTTGGTACATCAAATCACATAACTCACAATACATATCGTCATCGAATGTTAAGCATGCGGACCCTACGGGTTCGAGAACTATGTAGACATGACCGAGACACATCTCCGGTCAATAACCAATAACGGATCCTGGATGCTCATATTGGTTCCTACATTTTCTATGAAGATCTTTATCGGTCAAACCGCACAACAACATACGTTGTTCCGTTTGTCATCGGTATGTTACTTGCCCAAGATTCGATCGTCGGTATCATCATACCTAGTTCAATCTAGTCACTAGCAAGTCTCTTTACTCGTTCCATAATGCATCATCCCGCAACTAACTCATTAGTCACATTGCTTGCAAGGCTTATAGTGATGTGCATTACCGAGAGGGCCCAGAGATACCTCTCCGACAATCGGAGTGACAAATCCTAATTTCGATCTATGCCAACTCAACAAACACCATCGGAGACACCTTTAGAGCATCTTTATAATCGCCTAGTTACGTTGTGACGTTTGATAGCACACTAAGTGTTCCTCCGGTATTTGGGAGTTGCATAATCTCATAGTCATAGGAACATGTATAAGTCATGAAGAAAGCAATAGCAATAAACTAAATGATCATAGTGCTAAGCTAACTGATGGGTCTAGTCCATCACATCATTCTCTAATGATGTGATCCCGTTCATCAAATGACAACACATGTCCATGGCTAGGAAACTTAACCATCTTTGATTAACGAGCTAGTCAAGTAGAGGCATACTAGGGACACTCTGTTTGTCTATGTATTCACACATGTACTAAGTTTCCGGTTAATACAATTCTAGCATGAATAATAATCATTTATCATGATATAAGGAAATATAAATAACAACTTTATTATTGCCTCTAGGGCATATTTCCTTCAGCCTACATAGTTCTCGAACCCATAGGGTCCGCACGCTTAACGTTCGATGACGATTTGTATTATGAGTTATGTGATTTGATGACCGAAGTTTATTCAGAGTCCCGGATGAGATCACGGACATGACGAGGAGTCTCGAAATGATCGATGGGTAAATATTCATATATTGGAAGGTTGCATTTGGACATCGGAATGGTTCCAGGTAGTTCGGGCATTCTTTCGGAGTACCAGGAGGTTACCGGAACCCCCCGGGGAAGTTAATGGGCCTTAGTGGAGAGAGCGAAGAAGGGCCACGAGGCGGCGTGCGCCTCCCCCTGCCCAAACCGAATTGGACAAGGGGTGGGGGCGTGGCCCCCTCCTTCCTTCTCCTTCTCCCCTCCTTCCTTTTCCCTCCGGTGGAAGAAAGGAAAAGGGGGGCCGAATCCTACTTGGACTAGGAGTCCAAGTAGGACTCCCCCCTGGCGCGCCCCTCCTAGCCGGCCTCCTCTCTTCCTCCCTCCTTTATATACGTGGCCAGGGGGCACCCTAGTAGCACAATAGACAATCTCTTAGCCGTGTGCGGTGCCCCCCTCCACAATTCAACACCTCGATCATATCGTTGTAGTGCTTAGGTGAAGCCCTGCGTCGGTAGCTTCATCATCACCGTCACCACACCGTCGTGCTGACGGAACTCTCCCTCGTCCTCAGCTAGATCAAGAGCTCGAGGGACGTCATCGTGCTGAACGTGTGCTGAACACGGAGGTGCCATACATTCGGTACTTGGATCAGTTGGATCGTGAAGACGTTCGACTACATCAACCGCGTTACTAAACGCTTCCGCTTTCGGTCTACGGGGATACGTGGACACACTATCCCCTCTCGTTGCTATGCATCTCCTAGATAGATCTTGCGTGGTCGTAGGATTTTTTTTTTGAAATACCGCGTTCCCCAACAATATTGCGCTGGGCCATGGATCAGGCCGAGTTCAACGATACTTGTCAGAGAGCAAGATGGGCCAAGTGTAGGGGGTACTGGGCTCCTCAAGGCTAGTGTGTCACATCATTTTGGACGAAGACGTTGATGGCGCTAGAGGACGACAATGATGTGGTGTAGACGGTGGTTAGGGTGTCGACATCAGGTGATCGTGCAAGACCCGTCGTTTCTTGATGACAATGAGGAGAAGATTGTGGATGGTGCAATGGAGGCAGTGGTGGAAGAAAACAAGAAGGCTATGGCCCCCGCCGCTCGAAGCGCCTCGGTCGCCGCGTCTAGAATAGGTGTTTGTAAGTTAAATTTAACCCCGTTCCCCAATCCCTTGTACTAAAAAAATCATCATACAAACCCTAAAATCCATCGATTATGTGACGAATCAAGTGTGGAAATCCAACTCCGCAACCCCCTTTGTATTCAATCCCCTCCACAACCCTTGAACCGAGTCCAAAAATCCGATCTAAACCGTGAATCAAATGTAGTAAATTGAGAGAGAGGGGGGGGGTAAGGGCTTACTGCCATTGTTGATGTCTTGCTGGTGTGCTCGTGAATCCGGTGCTTGACGCCTAGGATCTCCTTGCAATCTGCCGCTCCGTCGCTCACCGCCGTCGATGTGAGAGTGGGAAGAGGGAAGGAAGAGAGCGGTGATGGTAATTATGCCGTCACTTCAAGAAACACCGCGATGTCTTGAGATCGTTTCCTCGCGTGCAATAACCCACGCCCACGTGCCTCAAGTTGCATTGCTTGCCTTTGGCTATGAAAAGATAGCCGATTCGACTATTCCCTAAAGCCAGCCTCAGAGGTGCTTTATGCTTCGTACGTGTTAGTTTTTTGATGCGACCCAATCAATCAAACGGATCAATTTCTTTTCGGTTTAAGCTTGGTGCGAACAACCAAACGAGTCATAAGCGTAACAGTCATAATACGTCAACGCTCGGTATAAGCGTACACTGCTTTATCATGTAGTATATCTGTATATACAGGCGTAACAAGCCGCAGCTCGGCAGCATCTTCTCTCCTAATCCAAAAGTGCGCGTGCTTCCTTGTCGCGTCTGTACGGAGCTGAGGAGGAGATGGACGCCATGGCAGCGCTCGCCAGAACGGGGCCTTCCCTCGCCGCCGCCGGCCACAGGAGCTCCGCAACGTTCCGGCCGTCGGCGTCACTCTCCTCCTTCGCCTCCGCTTCCTCGAGGAACCGCGGCCGCGTCGGGCTGAGCACGGCGGGGTGCAACCGGTGGGCAACCAGGGTAGCTCGCGCCACCCCCAACCGCATCGTCGCCTCCTCGGTTGGTTCCCTGGACTTGGCTCTCACCTACTTGCGCTCGCCCGAGGCTTCTCGTTGGGGATTAGGGCCGGCTAGGGTCGAAATTTGGTTTGGTGCTGCTGTGAATTGTCATGGTTTTGGTTTAATGTAGTATTGGTTGAGCTCATTTATTCAGTATAAATGGAAAAAGATGAGCTGCTTGTTAAGAAATACCCCCTTCTAATTGCGGGTGACCATGCATACATGAAGAAAATGCACCATAATGTGGCTAATGCCATATTTTGCCTGGCCCAGCCTCAACTTTTTCCAACCATTTTAAGTAATTGTCTATGTGACTGTAGGTAGGAACTGAAATAGAAGCGAAATTAAGCTGTTGTCTTTCTGTCAGTTGGTGACCGACAATTTTGGCGATGTATAGCACTGAAATTGAACTAAGATATCTATCAATTCAGTAATTGATATCTTAGTCCCCTTCTAATTGTGGGTGACTATGCACAGATGAAGAAAAAATTTCCAACCATTTTGAGTAATTATCTATGTCAATGTCGGTAAGAACTGAAATTGAAGTGAAATTAAGCTGCTATCTTTCTGTCAGTTGGCGACCGACAATTTGACAATGTATAGCACTGAAATTGGACTAAGATATCAATCCCGGAAATGGTGTAACTGATATCTTACTTCCTTTCTAATTGCGGGTGACTATGCACAGATGAAGAAAATGCATTATAATGTGTCTAATTCCATATTTTGCCTGATCCAGCCTGAACTTTTTCCAACCATTTTAAGTAATTGTCTATGTGAATGTCGGTAGGAACTGAAATTGAAGTGAAATTAAGCTGTTGTCTTTCTGTCAATTAGTGACCGACAGTTTTGGTGATGTATAGCACTGAAATTGAACTAAGATGTCAATTCAGGAAATGGAGTAATTGATATCTTAGTTCCCTTCTAATTGCGGGTAACTATGCACGCACGAAGAAAATGCACCATGATTCCATATTTTTCCTGGTCCAGCCTGAACTTTTTTCAACCATTTTAAGTAATTGTCTATGTGACTGTCGGTAGGAACTGAAATTGAAGTGAAATTAAGCTGTTGTCTTTCTGTCAGTTGGCGACCGACAATTTTGGTGATGTATAGCACTGAGACATGCTACATTGTGTTGATTATCAAATAAAAGTCATTTCTGTTCACTATCAAACTGTAAGACGGATTGTCTTCTGTTTACTAGATTGTTTTGTAAGGGAAAGATGCCATTTTCATTAAGTACCTTTAGTAGATTTTGCATCTTGTTGTCATTTCAACTCTAGCTGTGGAACTATCGGTCGGATTCCTCAAAATTTATTGATCTGTGCTATATAGTGGTTGTATCCACTACATATGCTACAATTGTGTGTTCACAAGAATTCTGGTCAAACTTTTGACCTTAGTTTTTACGCAGGGATCCCTGTGTTCTGATTGTGTTTTTTTTTAAATTGTAACAATGTGTGGGGTAGTTAGGATGTTAATAGGCATGTAGCCAAGTTCCTCTTCCAACCTCTTTCCAAAAGGGTAATGCTATCAATAACTTTATCTGTTTTGACACATGCATAACCACAGAGTAGGGATCTTTCCTGGTTGAGTCCTGGTCTCATGGTTTTGTTTGGTATGCTCTTATATTAAACCTACCAGAACTTCAGAAATGGCTTAGTTATTTTGAGAATTTGTTAAAGTTGATGTAGTCCTTTTACCAATTTCCTGGAAGATTCAGCAAAGCATTTTTCTCAAGTTTTAGGAATGTAATAGTGGGTAGATGGTTCTCGGTGAAGTCATCATTTGTTAATCCCTTTCACCAAGACAAGGTTGATCAGTGAACTTTTTAAGGGCAGTCGACGAGTAATGGACTCGGGAAACCTAATGCATACATTTATTTGCTACCCAAGATTGTCATTCAAGGAAATAAACCCAGTAAACGATGTGGCCACACCCCTAAACACAACCGGTGTCGTAATCATCAATATTTGATATTTGTCATTTTTATTGACTATGACAGATCACCTCTTTACCAAGCTGAGACCAATTATGCCTAATTGTCCAAATTGTAAACATGATTTGATTCTCCATTCTGTTAGATTGAGCTAAGATGATCCTCCAAAGTGTCCAATAATTGATGTATTACTAAAAGGGCAGCCAGGTGCACTTGCGCACGATCCAAGGAAATGCCCAACCACTTTGGGTCTTTTGTATGCAGCCTTTCCCTACATTTCTGCAAGCGGCTGTTTCCAGGACTCGAACCAGTGACCTCATGGTCACAAGGCAATAGCTTTACCGCTGCGCCAAGGCTCCCCTTCCAATAATTGATGTATCACTAATTTGGGAATTTGCAGTCTGCTTGTTTTGCGTTGGCTTTTGTATTTGATGCCTGAAAGATATAATAGATGTTGTTTCATTTAAGAGCGCCAACTTAGTTCATCCCTTCTCAGAAAAGGAAACCGAGGACTATTACGACATTACCAGTTATTCCTTTTCCAGTTAAAGAAACTAAGAAACATTGTGGTCTATCTTGATGATTATGGGACGGAGGGAGTATGAGATATTGCTTAACTAGATTTTTATTTTGTGCAGGAGGTTGAGCAGACCTACATTATGATCAAACCTGACGGTGTTCAGCGTGGTCTGGTATGTGCTTCTTGACTTTTATCAATGTTTTGGTATCTGTTGTTTGTTTCAGTTCAGATAAAACATATAGTCTTTGCCTGTAGGTTGGAGAGATTATTTCTCGCTTCGAGAAGAAGGGCTTTTTGCTGAAGGGGCTGAAGCTTTTTCAGTGCCCCAAAGACTTGGCTCAGGTTTGCTTAAAAATGCATTAAATCTTTCGAAGCTGCTGTCACCTTTTAGTGCTTACTTAGCATGGTAAAATGTTCAGTGTAATTATAAGCAATACCTTTTTTTTTCTAAAGGAAAGCATCATCCTTCTGTCACTCTGTCAGTTTAATAGTTCAAAATGGTACCATTGACACTCGCAGTGGTTAAAATACCAGCATCTAATAGTATTTGTCACAATAGAACACCATATCCCAGTTTATTTTGTTAAACGTCATTTTCTGTAACACCATGTATCTGCCATAATAGGATGCACTAAAAAATTCTTAGCATGTGTCAGCCAAGCAGTTTTTAGAAAACATTTCTTCTGAAAATACCACTTAGATCTGGTCAAGCCAGATTTTTTACAAGTCAAAAAGAGCATAAGGTCTTGTCTTTGTTTTCACATAGAGAAGTAAATGTTGAGAGTCAACGAATTGAAAATGCTTTTACATACTAAGTTAATAACTCTCCTATTCTGTCTTTTTTTACCTCAGGAACATTACAAGGATCTGAAGGAGAGACCTTTCTTTCCCAATTTAATCGACTACATAACTTCTGGACCTGTAGTCTGCATGGTATATATTTGTAAAGAACTGAAGATATTTGCAACTTCGCATTTTGATCAATATGAATTTCGCCTTTATATTACTTTCGCTATTTTGTTCTCTAAGGCCTGGGAGGGTGATGGTGTTGTTGCGTCAGCTCGCAAACTGATCGGAGCTACTAACCCCCTTCAAGCTGAGCCAGGGACCATAAGGGGTGATCTTGCAGTTCAAACAGGAAGGTTGGCACCCATGCCTTTCCATGTCTTCACACTATTATTTGCAGAATTCCTGTTTAATTTTATTTTATTTCACCTCTATTTACACCCTCTATGTGTACCAAAGAAATTATCATGGAACATTGCTTTTTCAGGAATGTCGTCCACGGAAGTGACAGCCCTGATAACGGCAAGCGAGAAATCGGTAAGTTTTGCCAGTGGCGGATCTAGCAGGGGTGCCATGGCACTCCCCCTACAAAAATGCAAAATAATATATGTATACTATATTCAATATTAATTATAATTGTGTAACAACTTAGTGCTATTTCAGACTATTTAGGCTAAATTATACTATTTTAGTGCAAGTTATTTAGATTTTGTACCGACGTGTTGAAGTTTTTCACCCCTAGTACTTAGATTCTAGGTCTGCCAGTTAGTGTTGCAGCACTTCGGTGCACCGCCGGTTGCTATTCAAGTTGATTCAGTATTTATATGGTTATGGTGTGAATGTTAGCTTGAAGGGAGCTTGGTTTCGCAGCAATTGAGTGCACCGCTATTTGCAGCAATTCTTGACAATAACTTATGTTCTTGTCCTATCTGTAGGATTATGGTTCAAAGAGGGTGAGCTTGCTCAATGGGAATCAGTTCAAACACCCTGGCTTATAGAGTGATCTTTGCATATCAGTTATCACTGCAAGAACCTGATCCAATACTTATTTGGTCAACTTGATTCTGAGGGGCCATGTATGTATGAGTTTACTTCTACCAAGTAAAGTAGCCTGTCAGGGCTTCAAAATTTTCACCATTGCTCACCTGTATGTTCTTTCTTTCTTTGTAAATGTTGAGCGGGTTCAGAACTCTGGCCTTTGGTCAGTATAAATCTTCCTGTTGAGAACTTTCTTCTACTCGGATGTTAATGTTTTGATGAAGAATCAATGCAAAAAAGTTCCAAGGCGTGGACACCGTATACTCTTCTATACTTTACTTCTTGTGGGCCTGTGGCATACGACAGTATTTTTTTAGGGTCACTGACAGTTTCTTTAACACAGACGCAGCCGCTCATACATACACATACATTCATCCTTATGAATGCATGCACATACGCAATACAATTTTGTTGGCAAGATAGAAATTTTACAAAATTTCTGGAAATCATGGTTCCTGGCATGGCATGGGGCGGTCAAACACCTTCACCATAATGCGTGCAAATTACACCGTGGTGTTCAAGACCATGGTCTCTCTCATCCGGATTTCAGTATCAATTGCATCTACAACCTTACCATAAGCAAGCATCCTGAGAGTAGCCATGCATTTATGTAGAGGAGAGAAAGGAAGTTGTCCACAACAATCCTTTCTCGGCTTGAAGTTGTCATCAGCCTTCTCCAGGGCAGAACAAATTTCTGCTCATTTAGAAGCGACGTCGAGAAACCTTCATGGTATTTTGTCCACTGTGAAGTAGTCTGTGAACAGAAGCCTACTACTTCTTGAGCTTGCGTTGATTTTTCCCTTGAAGAGGAAACGGTAAAGTTAAGAAGCAATGTATCAATCCAGTAGGAGGCACAAGCAAGTCTCCAATATATGCACCTGCACAAACTAACAAACACTTGCACACAACGTGAAAAAGGTGTTGTCAATCCCTTCACGGCCACGAACAAGAGTGAGTTCTATAGAGATAGGTATAAAAGATAAATAAAAGAGCAAACTAAAGTAATATAAATAAATTGCAGCAAGGTATTTTTGGGTTTTTTGATTTATAGAACAAAAATATATAATGGAAAATAGACCTGGGGCCATAGGTTTCACTAGAGGCTTCTCTCTTGAAAAAAAACATACGGTGGGTAAATAAATTACTATTGAGCAATTGATAGAAAAATGCATACTTATGACGATATCTAAGGCAATGATCATGAATATAGGCATCATGTCCGTGACAAGTAAACCGAAACGATTCTACATCTACTACTATTACTCCACACATCGACTGACTCCTGCCTGCATCTAGAGTATTAAGTTCATAAGAACAGAGTAACGTCTTAAGCAAGATGGCATGATGTAGAGGGATAAACTCAAGCAATATGATATAAACCCCATATTTTTATCCTTAATGACAACAATACAATATGTGCCTCACTGCCCCTTCTGTCACTAGGAGAGGACACCACAAGATTGAACCCATCACAAAGCACTTCTCTCATTGCAAGAAAAATCAATCTAGTTGGCCAAACCAAATCGATAGATCGAAGAGAATTACTAAGCTATCTTAATCATGCATAAAAGAGTTCAGAGACAACCCAAATAACATTCATAGATAATCTGATCATAAATTCACAATTCATCGGATCTCAACAAACGCACCACGAAAGAAGATTACATCGGATAGAACTCCAAGAATATCGAGGAGAACATTGTATTGAAGATCAAAGAGAGAGAAGAAGCCATCTAGCTACTAGCTATGGACCCTTAGGTCTGTGGTAAACTACTCACGCTTCATCAGAAGAGCAGCAAGGTTGATGCAGAGGCCCTTCGGCAGAGTGCCGGAAAAGGCCCCAAGATGGGATCTTACGAGAACAGAGGCTTGCGGCTGTGGAAAAGTATTTTGTTGGACGCTTATGATGCACTGTTCAAGATATCTTCCGATATTCTGATAAATCGGCCGATTTATCGCTTACCGTTGTCTGACCGATAAGATAAATCGGCCGATAAATCAACTGATATGGCAATAAATCGGCTGATATTGCTGATAAACTGGCCGATTTACCCCTTATCATGGGTCGACCGATAAGTTCTCGATAAGCGATATCCCCAACATTGTTATGATGTTTGGGGAATATTTGAGAATATATAGAGCTGGAATTAGGGTTAGGGGACTCCCGAGGGGCCCATAAGCCAGGGGGCGCCCTGAAGGCTTGTGGCCTCCTCAGGACTCTTCTGGCCCTCTCTCCAAGTCTTATGGGTGTCTTCTGATCCAAGAAAAATCATCGTAAAGTTTTATTCCATTTGGACCCTTTGATATTCATTTTTTGTAAAAGTCAAAAATAAGAAGAAAAAAAACTAGAAACTAGCACTGGGCTCTAGGTTAATAGGTTAGTTCCAAAAATAATATAAAATAGCATATTAATGCATATAAACATCCAAAACAGATAATACAATAGCACGGAACAATCAAAAATCATAAATACGTTGAAGATGTATCAATCATCCCCAAGCTTAATTCCTACTCATCCTCGAGTAGGTAAATGATAAAAACAGATTTTTTTGATGTGAAATGCTACCTAACATATTTATCAATGCAATCTTCTTTATTGTGGAAAGAATAATTAGATCCATAAGATTCAGAACAAAAGTTCAATATTGACATAAAAATAATAATACTTCAAGCATACTAATAAAGCAATTATGTCTTCTCAAAATAACATGGCATGTCCTGTTGAGCCTGGATCTGGCTCTGTGAATGCCACTGAGGCTGGATTTGGTTCGACCGTGGGCGGATTGAGGCCCTTGCGAGCAATCCCATCTAGGTGGCACATTTGATAGCAGCAGATTCTAGGCGCTGCCATGCGCACACAACAACCATCGGCGAGAGGACTTGGCGGCAGTTACCGAAAGCGTTGAGTTGATGTCTTCAGTTCGAGTGATTTATCCTTTAGTCAAATACTCCCTCTGTCCCAAAATATAAGAGCATTTTCACACTACACTAGTGTCAAAAACGTTCTTATATTATGGGACGAAGGGAGTAGCTGAGTGTGAGTTGTCTGCCAAAGTGATGGATGGCCGCTATATCAGCTGACCTCATGGTTGTATTCCCTCCAGGGTGAAAACTCATGATTAATCTTCTCTCTTGACTAGGCAATATCAACCATCAACGTCACACATCGTTACTATGTTAAAGGTGTTGGTTCAAAGATCTGCAGCAAGGTGATAGTCCCTGTTCCATTGTCTGGTTGGACCAACCACTCCATGAGTGCAAACGCCAATTCCCTATCGAAGGTGTTCTCTTGGAGCGACTAGTGGATTGCTTCACGTACCCTATGTGGTACGATTTTGGAGATGTTGGCGCAAGGCTTGTCTGGGAAGGGAGCAATGAGGACCCCGTTCTCCTCCAGTGTGAGCTGCGACATATCCTCAATGTCATTCCCTATTGACGGGGCATTGGGGTCAACTGACCCCAAATAAAACTAGGCAAATCAATGTAGATTACTGTTTATTCATGTGTATTAGAAGGTTTGGCCCTTACTGCAATGAAGTTGACCCCTTTGCCTTAGGACACACATTGTTAGAGTACGTAATGGGCCTGAGCTGGCAGTATAGCCCATTAGTCTTAGGGTTAATTAGAGATAAGGGTCTGTTCTGGCGGAGCTGCTTGTAGTCGACCTTTCCTCGCAGGCCCCATTTGCTCTCCCGGAACAGGCCCTCGACGCTGAACGGCAGGACCGAGTGGAACCGTCCCACTGCCGTCCAGCGCGTCTTCATCTCTGCCCGGGCCTTGGAGAGGTCGAGGACGACCACGTCCTCCACTCTGGGTGATCATAGGTGGCATACAGCCCAAGATCTCTCCCTCTGGTGACGGAGGGGGTACTGCTGAACACGGGGTGGTGGCCTCTACTTCAACCATGGCCTCCATCCAAATGAAGGACCAGGATCGGGCCGATAGTGCACCTGCTGTCTTGACCGGGTGGCATACTGGGCTGGGGGAGGGACCCGACAGCAACAACATCCCTCCCCTGGAGTAGAGACTAAAGGACAAAGATGGGATCAGCTCGGAGCAGGTTCAGGATCATGAGGTAGTTAAACTGATGGAAGGTATAATAGAGGGGGCAGAAGGGGGCTCAGTGCTAGGCAAAAGAAATGTACGTCCTGTAGAGACGGGGATAGGTGTTGCTTTTGGTCAGGGGTCAAAGGGAACGGAGAATGCAAAAAAGAAAAAAGGGGTAGGCGTGATGGAGGTCAAGATTTGTAATGGGGAGGAGGGAGTCAAGGAAGCAACCGGCCTCGGGGCTGCCGGTCAACTGGCGGACGCGGATGAACGAGCCCACCAGGAGAAATGAGGCTCCTCAGTTGGAACTGCCGAGGACTAGGGCAACCTCGGACAGTTCAGGAGCTCGTGTGCCTCGTGAGCACATATCGCCCGTCGGTAGTATTTATCTCGGAGACCCATCAGTGTGAAGAGAGTGTCAGGAAGCTTCGGTGGAGACTAGGCCTGAAACATTGTATCACCCACAATGGGAAGGGCAAGGGAGGTGGCATAGCTTTGTTTTGGGATGAAACAATTGAAATAAAGAGACTCTCAGTTGGCCCGAGGTACATTGATGTGCATATCCGTGAAAACACTCACAGCCCGTGGTGGCGCGGCACTTTTGTGTATGGTGAGCCGAAAGCTCACGAGCGGCACCACATGTGGAACCTGCTTAGAAGAATTAAGATGAATTCTGGTGAACCGTGGATGATGATAGGGGACCTAAATGAAATTATGTGACAAAGTGAGCACATCTCAGCGTCGAAAAGATCTGAAAGGTATATGGCTAATTTTAGAGAGGCCCTGTCTGATTGCAATCTTCATGAATTAGGGTACAGTGGGCCATGCTGGACATATGATAATAGACAAGTAGGCAGCGACAATGTTAAAGCCAGATTAGATAGGGGTCTGGCTTGCCCGCGGTGGTCGGATCTTTTC